CACGGCGTCTCTCACGTCTCTCACGGCGTCTCTCACGTCTCTCACGGCGTCTCTCACGAGCGTCTCTCACGAGCGTCTCTCACGAGCGTCTCTCACAACGTCTCTCACGGCGTCTCTCACGTCTCTCACGGCGTCTCTCACGTCTCTCACGGCGTCTCTCACGAGCGTCTCTCACGAGCGTCTCTCACAACGTCTCTCACGGCGTCTCTCACGTCTCTCACGGCGTCTCTCACAGCGTCTCTCACGAGCGTCTCTCACGGCGTCTCTCACGAGCGTCTCTCACAACGTCTCTCACGATCGTCTCTCACGAGAGTCTCTCACAACGTCTCTCACAACGTCTCTCACGTCTCTCACGGCGTCTCTCACAGCGTCTCTCACGAGCGTCTCTCACGAGCGTCTCTCACGGCGTCTCTCACGAGCGTCTCTCACGGCGTCTCTCACGTCTCTCACGAGCGTCTCTCACAACGTCTCTCACAACGTCTCTCACGGCGTCTCTCACGGCGTCTCTCACGAGAGTCTCTCACAACGTCTCTCACGGCGTCTCTCACGGCGTCTCTCACGGCGTCTCTCACGAGCGTCTCTCACGAGAGTCTCTCACAACGTCTCTCACGGCGTCTCTCACGGCGTCTCTCACGAGCGTCTCTCACAACGTCTCTCACGAGCGTCTCTCACGATAGTCTCTCACAACGTCTCTCACAACGTCTCTCACGTCTCTCACGGCGTCTCTCACAGCGTCTCTCACGAGCGTCTCTCACGATAGTCTCTCACAACGTCTCTCACAACGTCTCTCACGTCTCTCACGGCGTCTCTCACGAGCGTCTCTCACGAGCGTCTCTCACGGCGTCTCTCACGAGCGTCTCTCACGGCGTCTCTCACGTCTCTCACGAGCGTCTCTCACAACGTCTCTCACAACGTCTCTCACGGCGTCTCTCACGGCGTCTCTCACGGCGTCTCTCACAACGTCTCTCACAACGTCTCTCACGGCGTCTCTCACGAGCGTCTCTCACGGCGTCTCTCACGAGCGTCTCTCACGGCGTCTCTCACGGCGTCTCTCACGGCGTCTCTCAGAGCATCTCTTAGAGCGTCTCTCACGAGCGTCTCTCACGGTGTCTCTTAGAGCGTCTCTCACGGCGTCTCTCACGGCGTCTCTCAGAGCATCTCTTAGAGCGTCTCTCACGAGCGTCTCTCACGGTGTCTCTTAGAGCGTCTCTCACGGCGTCTCTCACGGCGTCTCTCACGGCGTCTCTCACGAGCGTCTCTCACGGCGTCTCTCACGGCGTCTCTTAGAGCGTCTCTCACGAGAGTCTCTTAGAGCATCTCTCAGAGCGTCTCTCACGGCGTCTCTCACGGCGTCTCTCAGAGCATCTCTTAGAGCGTCTCTCACGAGCGTCTCTCACGGTGTCTCTTAGAGCGTCTCTCACGGCGTCTCTCACGGCGTCTCTCACGAGCGTCTCTCACGGTGTCTCTTAGAGCGTCTCTCACGGCGTCTCTCACGGCGTCTCTTAGAGCGTCTCTCACGAGAGTCTCTTAGAGCATCTCTCAGAGCGTCTCTCACGGCGTCTCTCACGGCGTCTCTCAGAGCATCTCTTAGAGCGTCTCTCACGAGCGTCTCTCACGGTGTCTCTTAGAGCGACTCTCACGGCGTCTCTCACGGCGTCTCTCACGAGCGTCTCTCACGGCGTCTCTCACGGCGTCTCTTAGAGCGTCTCTCACGAGAGTCTCTTAGAGCATCTCTCAGAGCGTCTCTCACGGCGTCTCTCAGAGCATCTCTTAGAGCGTCTCTCACGAGCGTCTCTCACGGTGTCTCTTAGAGCGTCTCTCACGGCGTCTCTCACGGCGTCTCTCAGAGCATCTCTTAGAGCGTCTCTCACGGCGTCTCTCACGAGCGTCTCTCACGAGCGTCTCTCACGGCGTCTCTCACGAGCGTCTCTCAGAGCGTCTCTTAGAGCGTCTCTCAGAGCGCCTCTCACGAGCGTCTCTCACGGCGTCTCTCACGGCGTCTCTCAGAGCGTCTCTCAGAGCGTCTCTCAGAGCGCCTCTCACGAGCGTCTCTCACGGCGTCTCTCACGAGCGTCTCTCAGAGCGTCTCTTAGAGCGTCTCTCAGAGCGTCTCTCACGGCGTCTCTCACGAGCGTCTCTCAGAGCGTCTCTTAGAGCGTCTCTCAGAGCGTCTCTCAGAGCGTCTCTCAGAGCGCCTCTCACGAGCGTCTCTTAGAGCGTCTCTCAGAGAGTCTCTCACGGCGTCTCTCACGGCGTCTCTCACGAGCGTCTCTCACGGCGTCTCTCACGGCGTCTCTCACGAGCGTCTCTCACGAGCGTCTCTCACAACGTCTCTCACGGCGTCTCTCACGAGCGTCTCTCACGGCGTCTCTCACGAGCGACTCTCACGGCGTCTCTCATGGCGTCTCTCATGAGTGTCTCTTAGAGCGTCTCTCAGAGCGTCTCTCACGGCGTCTCTCACGAGAGTCTCTCACGGCGTCTCTCACGGCATCTCTCACGGCGTCTCTCACGGCGTCTCTCACGAGCGTCTCTCACGGCGTCTCTCACGGCATCTCTCACGGCATCTCTCACGAGCGTCTCTCACGGCGTCTCTCACGAGAGTCTCTCATGGCGTCTCTCACCGGCATCTCTCACGGCATCTCTCACGAGCGTCTCTCACGGCGTCTCTCACGAGGGTCTCTCACGAGCGTCTCTCACGAGCGTCTCTCACGAGCGTCTCTCACAACGTCTCTCACGGCGTCTCTCACGTCTCTCACGGCGTCTCTCACGTCTCTCACGGCGTCTCTCACGGCGTCTCTCACGAGCGTCTCTCACGAGCGTCTCTCACGGCGTCTCTCACGTCTCTCCACGGCGTCTCTCACGAGCGTCTCTCACGAGCGTCTCTCACGAGCGTCTCTCACAAACGTCTCTCACGGCGTCTCTCACGTCTCTCACGGCGTCTCTCACGTCTCTCACGGCGTCTCTCACGAGCGTCTCTCACGAGCGTCTCTCACAACGTCTCTCACGGCGTCTCTCACGTCTCTCACGGCGTCTCTCACAGCGTCTCTCACGAGCGTCTCTCACGGCGTCTCTCACGAGCGTCTCTCACAACGTCTCTCACGATCGTCTCTCACGAGAGTCTCTCACAACGTCTCTCACAACGTCTCTCACGTCTCTCACGGCGTCTCTCACAGCGTCTCTCACGAGCGTCTCTCACGAGCGTCTCTCACGGCGTCTCTCACGAGCGTCTCTCACGGCGTCTCTCACGTCTCTCACGAGCGTCTCTCACAACGTCTCTCACAACGTCTCTCACAACGTCTCTCACAACGTCTCTCACGGCGTCTCTCACGGCGTCTCTCACGAGAGTCTCTCACGAGCGTCTCTCATGAGTGTCTCTTAGAGCGTCTCTCAGAGCGTCTCTCACGAGCGTCTCTCACGAGCGTCTCTCACGGAGTCTCTCACGAGCGTCTCTCACGGCGTCTCTCACGTCTCTCACGAGCGTCTCTCACAACGTCTCTCACAACGTCTCTCACGGCGTCTCTCACGGCGTCTCTCACGAGAGTCTCTCACAACGTCTCTCACGGCGTCTCTCACGGCGTCTCTCACGGCGTCTCTCACGAGCGTCTCTCACGAGAGTCTCTCACAACGTCTCTCACGGCGTCTCTCACGGCGTCTCTCACGAGCGTCTCTCACAACGTCTCTCACGAGCGTCTCTCACGATAGTCTCTCACAACGTCTCTCACAACGTCTCTCACGTCTCTCACGGCGTCTCTCACAGCGTCTCTCACGAGCGTCTCTCACGATAGTCTCTCACAACGTCTCTCACAACGTCTCTCACGTCTCTCACGGCGTCTCTCACGAGCGTCTCTCACGAGCGTCTCTCACGGCGTCTCTCACGAGCGTCTCTCACGGCGTCTCTCACGTCTCTCACGAGCGTCTCTCACAACGTCTCTCACAACGTCTCTCACGGCGTCTCTCACGGCGTCTCTCACGGCGTCTCTCACAACGTCTCTCACAACGTCTCTCACGGCGTCTCTCACGAGCGTCTCTCACGGCGTCTCTCACGAGCGTCTCTCACGGCGTCTCTCACGGCGTCTCTCACGGCGTCTCTCAGAGCATCTCTTAGAGCGTCTCTCACGAGCGTCTCTCACGGTGTCTCTTAGAGCGTCTCTCACGGCGTCTCTCACGGCGTCTCTCAGAGCATCTCTTAGAGCGTCTCTCACGAGCGTCTCTCACGGTGTCTCTTAGAGCGTCTCTCACGGCGTCTCTCACGGCGTCTCTCACGGCGTCTCTCACGAGCGTCTCTCACGGCGTCTCTCACGGCGTCTCTTAGAGCGTCTCTCACGAGAGTCTCTTAGAGCATCTCTCAGAGCGTCTCTCACGGCGTCTCTCACGGCGTCTCTCAGAGCATCTCTTAGAGCGTCTCTCACGAGCGTCTCTCACGGTGTCTCTTAGAGCGTCTCTCACGGCGTCTCTCACGGCGTCTCTCACGAGCGTCTCTCACGGCGTCTCTCACGGCGTCTCTTAGAGCGTCTCTCACGAGAGTCTCTTAGAGCATCTCTCAGAGCGTCTCTCACGGCGTCTCTCACGGCGTCTCTCAGAGCATCTCTTAGAGCGTCTCTCACGAGCGTCTCTCACGGTGTCTCTTAGAGCGTCTCTCACGGCGTCTCTCACGGCGTCTCTCACGAGCGTCTCTCACGGCGTATCTCACGGCGTCTCTTAGAGCGTCTCTCACGAGAGTCTCTCACGGCGTCTCTCACGGCGTCTCTTAGAGCGTCTCTCACGGCGTCTCTCTGGAGCTCCCCTCTAGTGGAGATCCTTCTGCCAGGTGTGCCACCCCTTTTTACCGTCTTGCTTGGCATTGTGTCCTGACGATTACACATACGCATGTGCTTCTAGTTCATGGGAAACACTCACCAATCAGGCTGAAAACATCTACATAAAGCTAACAGTAAGATCACCATGATTATGATTGTTACCTCGCGTAATTTACTACGGGCGTTTCTGGCTGCAAAATTTACCGTTGCGGAGTCCTGCAGTTCCAGACACGGTTGTCTTACTGGTGGTGAGCTTCTGCCGCTCCTACCGCTGCCGATGCTGCTGCTGCTGTTGTCGTCGTCCAGCGTTATGGACGCCACCAACTGCTGAAAGTGGCCATGCAACTCGCTGTCTCCCTCCCCGTCATGGCACCGCTGTCGTAGCAGCGTCTGCACGATGGTCTCGGTGCGGTATTCCTGATACAGAAACTCTGCAGGACAATGAGAATCGCACAAAAGGACACTCGGGACATCGCGTCCGCTACTGCGGACATGTGTGCGTGCGTTGTGCGAGCGCGTGCGTGCGAGTGAGAATGCGTGTGTGTGTGTGAGCCCCAAAAGTCTGTTGAGGCTATACGGGGGGGGGGGTGGGAGGGGGGGTGGGTGGGAGATCGTGGTCGAGCGTCCGAGTGAGGGGTGAGCGGTGTCCACGTGTGCGTCGAGGAAGAGGCACTCACCAGAGTCCATCATTAGCCTGAGCCTCGGTATCGCGATGGCAGCGGCGCCACCGCCCGTGCCCAGCAGGGGTCCCAACCTACAGACGGGAAGCTGGCGTGAGCGTCACCCTTCGCAAGCACGCGCCCTTCGCAAACGCCGATCGTGAAAGGCCCAAACGCAGAGGATCCAATGGGTTTGATCTATCACGAAGCTCACGCAAGGCTGGCACGGCCCGGTTTTATTCATTCGGGTTTTAATCGTTTTTTTTTTATATATATAAACCCGGAGCACCTGAATCCTGCCCAAATCCGGTTTTATTAAAGTTAAGTCGGGATATCAGTCGCACGCACCCATTAGCGGCGTTCGGGCCGGGGCCCCGGGCTCAGCCGCCGTGCGCGTGAGCCACGCGGTGCGTTCGGCCCTCGCCCAGGCTTTCATCGTCAATTCGTCACTCGTCGGAGGCGACTATCCCGCAGCTCCAGAAGATCAGCCATCAAACTGTTCAGCGTGGCCACGTCGACCGCCGCCGCTGCGTCTGAGCGAAACTTCTCGACGATGGGATTTATCCCATTCCAAGTTGAGGAACGGCCTGGCGCCCAGCACAGTCGAGAAGCTCGTCTTCATTAAGTGGAACCTCAACGCGTTCCACGACTACCCCACGCCCGACGAACGGCGACAACGCCGAGAGTCCAGCGGCGAGAGCGACGGCGAAGACGACGCGGCGGCGGCGGACGACGACGACGAGGAGCAGGATTGAAGTGTGCACGAGACGCCGATAATAAAAACCAGGTTTCAATCGGCAAAATCGGCTTTAATTCCATTAAAACCAATAACCCGATTTGTCGGGCAAAAAAAAAAAATTCGGGTTTTTCCCACCCTTGAGCTCACGGTCCACCATAAACCGCATCCAACTGCGCAAAACCGTGGGCAGCAGATGCGGATACCGGATGGACAAATGTCGAATTAAAAACTCTCCAGTAGTGTGCGACCGCGGCCATCCAGGCCAGACCGTGCAACGTATTGCGCCGCAGTGCCCGGTGCACAGACACAAAGGAGAAATCACGCTGCTCCCGGACCCGGTGATCTGGCTCGACCACCTGAATGTGAACTTGTAGTCGTTGTTCTGCATCTACATCAGGCGAAAAGAAGAGAAGAAGAAGAGAGAAGAATAGAGGAAGAGGAAATGAAGAAAGAAGAGAAGTGAAAAAAGCAGAAGAGAAGAGAATAAGAAGAACCGCTCTCCGCTGCCCCGGTGAACCACGGGGGTGTTTGAGAGCGGCGGTGGCGGCAGCGGTGACGACTCGTGGCGCCGTCTCGCTAAACAGAATCACCAGAATCTTTATTTAGACCGGAGGAGGAATCCGATGAGCTATGAAGCTCTTTGTGACAGATGTCCGGTATGGGTGGGTCAGCGAGTCACAACAGCAAACAATACACAAAAACACAACGATAGGAGTGCAAAGTCACTAAAACGTCAATAAATAATGAAATTATTATTTTAGAAGTACAATTTATCAAGCTTGGGGGGGGGGGGGGGGGAGGGGCAAGGCAGCAAAAACAACAACAACAACAACGGTCCCAGACCACACCAAGGCAACAACAACAACAACGCCACACCGTCGTAGTCCCTCAATAACGCACAGAGTTGGTGCCCCACTTGTCCGCTAGAGACGGGACGAATGCCCGCCTGCATCACCGCGTCCGAACGCGAGCGCTCTCCCCTCCGCTGTTCACTTCAACACCCGTCTATTCGCGACTCGCAGCTGGCAGTGAGGTGGTGGTTGGCAAGCTCTCACCCCCCCCCAAAGTTTATTGCCTGACATCTAGGAGGGCACCTGCCCCGACAGCCTGTGCAGGCTATATGGGGGGGTCCCCGTCTTTGTGTGTATGTGCCAATGCGTGCGTGTGTGTGTGCAGAGCGGTAGTGCGGCGGTTAGCGCGCTGCGAACCTGGCGACCCGGGTTCGATTCCCACTCACGGCCAACACCAGTGACGATTACCTGAACCGGCCTGGGCCTCCCCAAGGTCGACTCGGCCTCAAATTAGTACCTGGTGCGGTGTGTAAACATCGCCACTGGGGAGACAAAGGCGGACGGGCGTGGTGCTGGCCACCCACCCACTCGTGTACCGTTCCGGCCTTCATAGGTGCTCGCTAACAGCACTTGCCCCAACAGTGTGTTAAGGCTACACGGGGGATCTTTGTCTTAGTGTGTGTGTGTGTGCACACTCTCTTCTCCCTTTTGGGAGCAGTTAGCACACTGCTCTACAGACCCGGCGACCTGAGTTGGATTCCCACTCACGGCCAACGTCGACGGCGAATATATCTGAACCGGTCTTGAGCCTCCCATAGGTTGACTCGGCTTTACACGAGTACCTGGTGCAGTGTCTAAACATAAGCACTGGGAAGATAAAGGCGGACAGGCATGGTGGCAGTGCCAGCGGTGGTAGTGGTGGTCGTGGTGTTGGTGGTAGTGGTGGTAGCAGTAGTGGTGGTAGTGGTAGTTGGTGGTGGTGCAAGTGCTAGTGGTGGCAGTGCTAGCTAGTGCAGATGGTGGTGGTGGCAGTGGTGGTGGTGATGCTCGTGGTAGAGGTGGTAGTGGTGTGTAAGTAGCGGTGGTAGTGGTGTGTAAGTAGCGGTGGTAGTGGTGTGTAAGTAGTGGTGGTAGTGGTGTGTAAGTAGTGGTGGTAGTGGTGTGTAAGTAGCGGTGGTAGTGGTGTGTAAGTAGTGGTGGTAGTGGTGTGTAAGTAGTGGTGGTAGTGGGGTGTAAGTAGCGGTGGTAGTGGTGTGTAAGTAGCGGTGGTAGTGGTGTGTAAGTAGCGGTGGTAGTGGTGTGTAAGTAGTGGTGGTAGTGGTGTGTAAGTAGTGGTGGTAGTGGTGTGTAAGTAGCGGTGGTAGTGGTGTGTAAGTAGCGGTGGTAGCAGTGTGTAAGTAGCGGTGGTAGTGGGGTGTAAGTAGTGGTGGTAGTGGTGTGTAAGTAGCGGTGGTAGCGGTGTGTAAGTAGCGGTGGTAGCGGTGTGTAAGTAGCGGTGGTAGCGGTGTGTAAGTAGCGGTGGTAGTGGTGTGTAAGTAGTGGTGGTAGTGGTGTGTAAGTAGCGGTGGTAGTGGTGTGTAAGTAGCGGTGGTAGCGGTGTGTAAGTAGCGGTGGTAGTGGTGTGTAAGTAGTGGTGGTAGTGGTGTGTAAGTAGCGGTGGTAGTGGTGTGTAAGTAGTGGTGGTAGTGGTGTGTAAGTAGCGGTGGTAGCGGTGTGTAAGTAGTGGTGGTAGCGGTGTGTAAGTAGCGGTGGTAGTGGTGTGTAAGTAGCGGTGGTAGTGGTGTGTAAGTAGCGGTGGTAGCGGTGTGTAAGTAGCGGTGGTAGTGGTGTGTAAGTAGTGGTGGTAGTGGTGTGTAAGTAGTGGTGGTAGTGGTGTGTAAGTAGCGGTGGTAGTGGTGTGTAAGTAGTGGTGGTAGCGGTGTGTAAGTAGTGGTGGTAGTGGTGTGTAAGTAGCGGTGGTAGTGGTGTGTAAGTAGTGGTGGTAGTGGTGTGTAAGTAGCGGTGGTAGCGGTGTGTAAGTAGCGGTGGTAGTGGTGTGTAAGTAGTGGTGGTAGTGGTGTGTAAGTAGCTGTGGCAGCGGTGTGTAAGTAGTGGTGGTAGTGGTGTGTAAGTAGTGGTGGTAGTGGTGTGTAAGTAGCGGTGGCAGCGGTGTGTAAGTAGCGGTGGTAGTGGTGTGTAAGTAGTGGTGGTAGTGGTGTGTAAGTAGCGGTGGTAGTGGTGTGTAAGTAGTGGTGGTAGCGGTGTGTAAGTAGTGGTGGTAGTGGTGTGTAAGTAGCTGTGGCAGCGGTGTGTAAGTAGCGGTGGTAGTGGTGTGTAAGTAGCGGTGGTAGTGGTGTGTAAGTAGCGGTGGTAGTGGTGTGTAAGTAGTGGTGGTAGTGGTGTGTAAGTAGCGGTGGTAGTGGTGTGTAAGTAGCGGTGGTAGTGGTGTGTAAGTAGCGGTGGCAGCGGTGTGTAAGTAGCGGTGGTAGCGGTGTGTAAGTAGTGGTGGTAGTGGTGTGTAAGTAGCGGTGGTAGTGGTGTGTAAGTAGCGGTGGTAGTGGTGTGTAAGTAGTGGTGTGTAAGTAGCGGTGGTAGTGGTGTGTAAGTAGTGGTGGTAGTGGTGTGTAAGTAGTGGTGGTAGCGGTGTGTAAGTAGCGGTGGTAGCGGTGTGTAAGTAGCGGTGGTAGTGGTGTGTAAGTAGCGGTGGTAGTGGTGTGTAAGTAGCGGTGGTAGCGGTGTGTAAGTAGCGGTGGTAGTGGTGTGTAAGTAGTGGTGGTAGTGGTGTGTAAGTAGTGGTGGTAGTGGTGTGTAAGTAGCGGTGGTAGTGGTGTGTAAGTAGCGGTGGCAGCGGTGTGTAAGTAGCGGTGGTAGCGGTGTGTAAGTAGTGGTGGTAGTGGTGTGTAAGTAGCGGTGGTAGTGGTGTGTAAGTAGCGGTGGTAGTGGTGTGTAAGTAGTGGTGTGTAAGTAGCGGTGGTAGTGGTGTGTAAGTAGTGGTGGTAGTGGTGTGTAAGTAGTGGTGGTAGTGGTGTGTAAGTAGCGGTGGTAGCGGTGTGTAAGTAGCGGTGGTAGTGGTGTGTAAGTAGCGGTGGTAGTGGTGTGTAAGTAGCGGTGGTAGCGGTGTGTAAGTAGCGGTGGTAGTGGTGTGTAAGTAGTGGTGGTAGTGGTGTGTAAGTAGTGGTGGTAGTGGTGTGTAAGTAGTGGTGGTAGTGGTGTGTAAGTAGCGGTGGTAGCGGTGTGTAAGTAGCGTGGTAGCGGTGGTTAAGTAGCGGTGGTAGTGGTGTGTAAGTAGTGGTGGTAGTGTGTGTAAGTAGCGGTGGTAGTGGTGTGTAAGTAGCTGGTGGTAGCGGTGGTAAGTAGCGGTGGTAGCGGTGTGTAAGTAGTGGTGGTAGTGGTGTGTAAGTAGCGGTGGTAGTGGTGTGTAAGTAGCGGTGGTAGTGGTGTGTAAGTAGCGGTGGTAGTGGTGTGTAAGTAGTGGTGGTAGCGGTGTGTAAGTAGTGGTGGTGTGGTTGTAAGTAGCGGTGGTAGTGGTGTGTAAGTAGTCGGTGGTAGTGGTGTGTAAGTAGCGGTGGTAGTGGTGTGTAGTAGGTGGTGGTAGTGGTGTGTAAGTAGTGGTGGTAGGGGTGTGTAAGTCAGCGGTGGTAGTGGTGTGTAAGTAGTGGTGGTATGCTGGTGTGTAAGTAGGGTGTAGTGTGTGTAAGTAGTGGTGGTAGTGGTGTGTAAGTAGCGGTGGTAACGGTGTGTAAGTAGCGGTGGTGGTGGTGTGTAAGTAGCGGTGGTAGTGGTGTGTAAGTAGTGGTGGTAGTGGTGTGTAAGTAGTGGTGGTAGTGGTGTGTAAGTAGCGGTGGTAGTGGTGTGTAAGTAGCGGTGGTAGCGGTGTGTAAGTAGCGGTGGTAGTGGTGTGTAAGTAGTGGTGGTAGTGGTGTGTAAGTAGCGGTGGTAGTGGTGTGTAAGTAGCGGTGGTAGCGGTGTGTAAGTAGCGGTGGTAGTGGTGTGTAAGTAGCGGTGGTAGCGGTGTGTAAGTAGTGGTGGTAGCGGTGTGTAAGTAGTGGTGGTAGTGGTGTGTAAGTAGCGGTGGTAGTGGTGTGTAAGTAGCGGTGGTAGTGGTGTGTAAGTAGTGGTGGTAGTGGTGTGTAAGTAGCGGTGGTAGTGGTGTGTAAGTAGCGGTGGTAGTGGTGTGTAAGTAGCGGTGGTAGTGGTGTGTAAGTAGTGGTGGTAGTGGTGTGTAAGTAGCGGTGGTAGTGGTGTGTAAGTAGTGGTGGTAGTGGTGTGTAAGTAGCGGTGGTAGTGGTGTGTAAGTAGTGGTGGTAGTGGTGTGTAAGTAGTGGTGGTAGTGGTGTGTAAGTAGCGGTGGTAGTGGTGTGTAAGTAGTGGTGGTAGTGGTGTGTAAGTAGCGGTGGTAGTGGTGTGTAAGTAGCGGTGTGTAAGTAGCGGTGGTAGTGGTGTGTAAGTAGCGGTGGTAGTGGTGTGTAAGTAGCGGTGGTAGTGGTGTGTAAGTAGTGGTGGTAGTGGTGTGTAAGTAGTGGTGGTAGTGGTGTGTAAGTAGCGGTGGTAGTGGTGTGTAAGTAGCGGTGGTAGTGGTGTGTAAGTAGCGGTGGTAGTGGTGTGTAAGTAGCGGTGGTAGCGGTGTGTAAGTAGTGGTGGTAGTGGTGTGTAAGTAGCGGTGGTAGTGGTGTGTAAGTAGTGGTGGTAGTGGTGTGTAAGTAGTGGTGGTAGGTAGTGGTGTGTAAGTAGTGGTGGTAGTGGTGTGTAAGTAGTGGTGGTAGTGGTGGTAAGTAGCGTGGTAGTGGTGTGTAAGTAGGTGGTGGTAGTGGTGTGTAAGTAGTGGTGGTAGTGGTGTGTAGTAGTGGTGGTATGGTGTGTAAGTAGTGGTGGTAGTGGTGTGTAAGTAGTGGTGGTAGCGGTGTGTAAGTAGCGGTGGTAGCGATGTGTAAGTAGTGGTGGTAGTGGTGTGTAAGTAGTGGTGGTAGTGGTGTGTAAGTAGTGGTGGTAGTGGTGTGTAAGTAGCGGTGGTAGCGGTGTGTAAGTAGTGGTGGTAGTGGTGTGTAAGTAGTGGTGGTAGTGGTGTGTAAGTAGCGGTGGTAGTGGTGTGTAAGTAGCGGTGGTAGTGGTGTGTAAGTAGCGGTGGGTAGCGGTGTGTAAGTAGTGGTGGTAGTGTGTGTAAGTAGTGGTGTAGTGGTGTGTAAGTAGCGGTGGTAGTGGTGTGTAAGTAGTGGTGGTAGTGGTGTGTAAGTAGCGGTGGTAGCGGTGTGTAAGTAGCGGTGGTAGTGGTGTGTAAGTAGTGGTGGTAGTGGTGTGTAAGTAGCGGTGGTAGTGGTGTGTAAGTAGTGGTGGTAGTGGTGTGTAAGTAGCGGTGGTAGTGGTGTGTAAGTAGCGGTGGTAGTGGTGTGTAAGTAGCGGTGGTAGCGGTGTGTAAGTAGTGGTGGTAGTGGTGTGTAAGTAGTGGTGGTAGTGGTGTGTAAGTAGCGGTGGTAGCGGTGTGTAAGTAGTGGTGGTAGTGGTGTGTAAGTAGTGGTGGTAGTGGTGTGTAAGTAGCGGTGTAGTGGTGTGTAAGTAGCGGTGGTAGTGGTGTGTAAGTAGCGGTGGTAGTGGTGTGTAAGTAGTGGTGGTAGTGGTGTGTAAGTAGTGGTGGTAGTGGTGTGTAAGTAGCGGTGGTAGTGGTGTGTAAGTAGTGGTGGTAGTGGTGTGTAAGTAGCGGTGGTAGCGGTGTGTAAGTAGCGGTGGTAGTGGTGTGTAAGTAGTGGTGGTAGTGGTGTGTAAGTAGCGGTGGTAGTGGTGTGTAAGTAGTGGTGGTAGTGGTGTGTAAGTAGCGGTGGTAGTGGTGTGTAAGTAGCGGTGGTAGTGGTGTGTAAGTAGCGGTGGTAGCGGTGTGTAAGTAGTGGTGGTAGTGGTGTGTAAGTAGTGGTGGTAGTGGTGTGTAAGTAGTGGTGGTAGTGGTGTGTAAGTAGTGGTGGTAGTGGTGTGTAAGTAGTGGTGGTAGTGGTGTGTAAGTAGTGGTGGTAGTGGTGTGTAAGTAGCAGTGGTAGTGGTGTGTAAGTAGTGGTGGTAGTGGTGTGTAAGTAGCGGTGGTAGTGGTGTGTAAGTAGTGGTGGTAGTGGTGTGTAAGTAGTGGTGGTAGTGGTGTGTAAGTAGCGGTGGTAGTGGTGTGTAAGTAGCAGTGGTAGTGGTGTGTAAGTAGCAGTGGTAGTGGTGTGTAAGTAGTGGTGGTAGTGGTGTGTAAGTAGTGGTGGTAGTGGTGTGTAAGTAGTGGTGGTAGTGGTGTGTAAGTAGCGGTGGTAGTGGTGTGTAAGTAGTGGTGGTAGTGGTGTGTAAGTAGTGGTGGTAGTGGTGTGTAAGTAGCGGTGGTAGTGGTGTGTAAGTAGCAGTGGTAGTGGTGTGTAAGTAGCAGTGGTAGTGGTGTGTAAGTAGTGGTGGTAGTGGTGTGTAAGTAGTGGTGGTAGTGGTGTGTAAGTAGTGGTGGTAGTGGTGTGTAAGTAGTGGTGGTAGTGGTGTGTAAGTAGTGGTGGTAGTGGTGTGTAAGTAGTGGTGGTAGTGGTGTGTAAGTAGCGGTGGTAGCGGTGTGTAAGTAGTGGTGGTAGTGGTGTGTAAGTAGTGGTGGTAGTGGTGTGTAAGTAGTGGTGGTAGTGGTGTGTAAGTAGTGGTGGTAGTGGTGTGTAAGTAGTGGTGGTAGTGGTGTGTAAGTAGTGGTGGTAGTGGTGTGTAAGTAGTGGTGGTAGTGGTGTGTAAGTAGTGGTGGTAGTGGTGTGTAAGTAGCGGTGGTAGTGGTGTGTAAGTAGTGGTGGTAGTGGTGTGTAAGTAGTGGTGGTAGTGGTGTGTAAGTAGTGGTGGTAGTGGTGTGTAAGTAGTGGTGGTAGTGGTGTGTAAGTAGCGGTGGTAGCGGTGTGTAAGTAGTGGTGGTAGTGGTGTGTAAGTAGTGGTGGTAGTGGTGTGTAAGTAGTGGTGGTAGTGGTGTGTAAGTAGTGGTGGTAGCGGTGTGTAAGTAGCGGTGGTAGTGGTGTGTAAGTAGCGGTGGTAGTGGTGTGTAAGTAGCGGTGGTAGTGGTGTGTAAGTAGTGGTGGTAGTGGTGTGTAAGTAGTGGTGGTAGTGGTGTGTAAGTAGCGGTGGTAGTGGTGTGTAAGTAGTGGTGGTAGTGGTGTGTAAGTAGCGGTGGTAGCGGTGTGTAAGTAGTGGTGGTAGTGGTGTGTAAGTAGTGGTGGTAGTGGTGTGTAAGTAGTGGTGGTAGTGGTGTGTAAGTAGCTGTGGCAGCGGTGGCAGCCGAGGTGCGCGGTGGTATCGGTGGTAGTGGTGGCAGTGCCAGCGCTCGTGGTGGCGGCGGTGATAGCGGCGCTAGCGCTAGCGGTAGCGCTAGCGCTACCGCTAGCGCTACCGCTAGCGGAGCTCGTGGTTGGCGGTGGTCGTGGCGTCGCTCACCCACTGAGTCGCCGTGCCCCGTCCCGGGCCGGCGAGCCACGCTTCTCTCCGGGCTCCTCTTCCACGCCCGCTCCGCGCGAGCCCTCGGGCCGGTTCGCCCGCTCTCCCGTGCCCGCGTCGTCGGCATCGTCGGCATCGTCGGCATCGTCGGCATCGTCGGCTTCGGCATCGGCGGCGGGGGTCACCGTGGCGGGGTCGACCGAGGAGGACGACGGCCAGCGGGCGGCGGAGTGGCTCCACAGCTTCTCCCCGAAGCCGAGCCGCTCATTGAGGTGGCTCATGAAGCCGCGATCGCGCGGCGTGACCAGGGACTCGGCCGAGACGCCGCCGCCGCCGCCGCCGGTAGAGCCGCCAGCGTCGCCGCCGTCGCCGCCGCCACCGGCAGGGCTCACGTCGTCACCTGCCCCGGAGAGGCGAGACGCGCGTTTAAATGGGCGCAGCGATTGTCGTTCAGCGCACGGCAAATGTTGTTGTGTGTGTGTACGCTTAACTTCTTTTGCACCATACGTCGGCAACCGTGCTAATCGGTGTTGGCTGGCAACTGATGATTATTGAGCGACTAAACAACGGCATTCATCATTAACGGTGCCTTGAAAGAACACGCAGATAAATAGAAAAGATTATTTCAAAAAGCATTAGGCGATTTCATATTTTTCTATCTTAAAGGAGTAAAGTAGCTGCTTCGTAATGGTAACAAGTACCTGTCTCTTCCCCTGGCTCACTCAGTGCACCTCAAAGAGGATTACAACAGCATCAAGACCTTGCTGGACGCCTTGAAGTATGATGAGTACGGCTGGGAGGTCATCGGCAACTTCAAAATGGTGGCATTCCTGATGGGTCTGCAATGCGGTTTTACCAAGTTTCCCTGCTATCTTTGCCTTTGGGACAGCAGGGACACCAAGGTGCACTACCACAGGCGGGACTGGCCACAGCAGACCGAGTTCTCTGTGAGGAGTAACAACGTCAAGTGGGAGCCACTGGTGGACCCCCGGAAGGTGCTGATGCCACCACTGCACATCAAATTGGGCCTCGTGAAACAATTTGTCAGAGCTGCAGATAAGGAGTCGGCAGCCTTCAAGTACCTTCAAGACTTCTTCCATAAGCTGTCTGAGGCAAAGGTCAAAGCCGATGTCTTCGTTGGACCACAGATGAAGAAGATCCTGGAGTGCAATGATTCCCCAAGAAGCTCACTAGTAAGGAGAAAGCGGCTTGGAACAGCTTTGTCGCAGTGGTTTGTGGCTTCCTGGGTAATCACAAGGTCGAAAACTATGTGGAGCTGGTTGAGACTCTGGTGAAGAACTACGGCACAATGGGCTGTAGGATGTCCCTCAAAGTCCATATCCTTGATGCTCATCTTGATAAATTCAAGAAGAACATGGGAGCGTACTCGGACGAGCAAGGCGAGCGCTTCCACCAGGATATACTGGACTTTGAACTCCGCTAGCAAGGACAGTATAACAAGAACATTGATGGGAGACTACATTTGGGGGCTGATTCGTGAAAGTGATTTACAGTATAATCGTATATCTTGAAAAACTACTCACTTCTAAATCTTTTGTAGTCATTTTTGTAGTACTTAAGTATAAAGACATGTTAATTTTGATTCATGTTGTTTTTTTCTGAGTTTATGTGAACGATTTTCTCATTGAAAAGAGGTAAATTTCAAAATATCACCGTCCTGGTCACAAAAGCAAAGTTTGCGGGGAATAATAGCCATTTTCTCTACTTTTTAGGCATAAGCAATTACGAAATAACACTTACTACCCAGGAACAAAAAAATGTGTTACATAATGTTATCGTTGAAAACTGACATTGCACCTCGACGATTCGACTCGAAAGAAACCAATTATGAAGCGGTCCTGCATTTCATTGATTTGTGTACCACGAGAGGTTAAAATTCTTAACTGGCGATGGTGCGTTGGCAGTGGTGGGACTCGAGCACAAACAACAAGCACGAAAAAACTCAACGCATTCTTAACATGTGCGACCCCACCCCCCGCCCCCCTACTGGACATCTGTATAAACTGTTCTGATCGTCCATTGTTTACATTTACTTTAAAGGACGCAGCAATACTGATTAACGTGTTGGGTTTCGTTTTCTTATTTGTGCACCAATACCAACGCAGCAGCAACCAAAACAGTTTGCATTTTTAGTTGCCAATCTTCCCAGACAATTCTACACGTTTGTCCATTGCCATTTGGTTGTGGTTTTGTAGCGTTGCAACAAAAAAATTCTAATACAAAACACGCTCGGTATCATCCATAAGAGTTATTTTTGGGTTAGATCGCCGTGTAAATATATGTGTCGTTAAACCCGCCACCACCCGACACAGCCAACTAGTAAGGGTTGTCACGTAAACAGAACATGCCAATTCGTCACGAGTACAGCACGCCGGTGTGTTGGAGAGCCAAGCCACAACATTTATGATCCAAGTACGACGTTTCGCCAGTAATTACAACTAGCTTCATCAGGCTCTCAACCCTTACTAGTTGGCTGTGTCGGGTGGGTGGCGGGTTTAAACGACACATTTACACCATTCTGGCGAATTGCTTGATGATGCTGGATGTATTTACCAGCGAAACGTCGTACTCAAACTGTAAATGTGGATTAACTCTTCAACACACCGGTGGGCTGAAGTAGTGAATTATTTGTCTTTTGTCAACGTGACACTTTTTTTGCTGATTGGTGGTGGAGGGTTACGACACATTTATAAATAAACGCGATCTAACCCAAAAACCTTTATTATGAATAATATTGGTCGCGAAAGCCTACGTGTTAAACTGACACATTTATATATGTACGCCATCTCACCCAAACAACCTCAACGCCGTACAAGGTTACAGAACTAACTACGGCAGAGCACATTATTGTACATTTACGTAAAAGGTCAAAACCGGCCGTAGCCATGGCCCCTAGAGGCCAACATTTGCTCGCGGGCCAGATACTGTAGTTTGAACAGCACGGGCGTATCTGATCTTAACCCCGCTCATCTGCCATTCAAAACTTACAGTAACGCAGTTTACGGTAAAATGACTTCAACATATCGGGCAGAGGTAAGCAATGTCTGACATCACCCCGGAATGCGACCAATCTCACCAGATCTCGGAAGCTAAGTCGGGTTGAGTCCGGATAGCGCCTTGGATGTGCAACTCGTACGGACACAAGATAGGTGAGGTAAGCGTAATGGGCAGTAAGTGCCGTGCCGTGCCACATCCAGCATACTTATCTCTTTGGCCGTGGCCACTAGTCACACGCACAAGTATGCCTGCAACTGGGAAAATACTCGGGTGAGAAATTAAGCCCTTGTTTGATTCATTTGTCAGGCTTTCAAAGTGCATAATGTTACCCCCTGCAAGAAATCAATATTCAGCAACACTGCGATCTGAAGCCGAGTAGGGCAATAAGCACTGGACCTTGACTAAACGCATGGAGTGCTCGCCACACGTTTATTCTGCTAGAAGTGCCCTAAACAATGTTACCACAGGAGGAAACTCAATATCACCATGATCATGGGGGAAGGGTGGGGGATGATAACAATGGGGGAAAAAAAACAAATCCCAACAATGACGCTCGTTTCAGCACGCTGCGGTTTAACAATAAGAGCACGGATTTTTGAGCAGTTATCTCCTGGCAGGGGGCATTCGACAAGTGCTCTCTAAAACGATAACACCCCCACCCTCATCCACGATATATAATGAATACTCGGTTAAAAAAAACATGGTGCGTTTCATTTTTGTTGATTATACACATCCTGGCCATAAACTTTCAGAGATCCAATTAAATAATACAGCTTTGCCTCGCTTTACGTGCGGGTTCGGTTGCGCGATGTCGCGTGTATGCGGCTGATCTATTTCGACCATAAAATGTTTCGCTACACGAGGTTTTAATTCACTGATGTGTATGCATGTTGAACTTCTTTCGCGCCGTACGTAGCCAACCGTGCCCATCCGAGGTGCGGTGGAACGGCAATCAATCCGTCTTCATTTTGTGTGCCAATATCGCCCTCGCAATAGGACAGACAACAAACCAAACACAACAATGAGTTCTAAAGAAATTCGTTTTCGTATGCGCCCATGCGGTCGGACGTGGGACTAACTGTGGTGTCCCCTTTCATGCTGCTAGGTGGACAGGCGAGGGGCGATTTAAGAAACTTCATCCCCCCCCCCACCCCCCACGAGATTTTATCAAACTGGCGACCACTGGATTACAAGTCCAACGTGCCAACCATATCACCACAAGCAGCTTCCCATTTTTTTCATAACCACAATAATGAATCGGTTTGATTTCACATCAATACCTCCACGCCTGCTATTCTGAAGTGTATTGATTACAGCTGTTGGGTTAATACCAGACCCTAAGCAAATTAGCAATCTCTGGAGAATGACAACCGGAAAATCTGGTTTGTGAGTTTCATCATTGCAACCACACCTAGTCCTTGCATAACAAGTGACTATGTGTCAGGCCCCAGTGTATTTTGGCGGGCAATGTGAGGAATAAATAAGTAATATTAAAAACATTTTTTTTAAACAGGCTTTAATGAAATCTACCGTACTAGTAATGGCAGAACACCACGACTCCACGAAGTGGCCCCGAAGCTTGCCACAACGTAAGGGACCGTGGTGATTTACAGCCAACGTCAGTTGAGCGTGGACAATTAGACCCTAGCCGAAATAAAACATATAAAAAATAATGTTTGCAAATGTTTTTTTATTTTTATGATAGAATATATTATTGTCATCGGTATGACATAAGTATACCAAGTTTGTAGTGGATACCACATTGGGAAGTGGGTTAAAATTGAGTTACAAGATTTGAGGATACAACAACAGAGTTAATAGAAAGCGTGTAAAAAAATAGCAGAGGGTTTGATATACCATGAACTCATTTCTTTATAACTGCGTTTTGTGTTTAGTTTGTCGTCCTTTCTCCACAACTCTGATTAGCACGGTTGGTTATGCACGGTGCGAAAGAAGTTCAACATACATACATAATGAGCGGGGTTACTCTGGAAAGGTATAAATATCTCGAATTAGAAATGAAAGACGTTGGTTATTACACTATGGATTAAGTGGGTGCATTTAATATTCATGGTTAAGATGTAATGATCCAGGATTTGACAATGCATTGAGTTTCGATTTAAAGCTTTCGTGACTGCAATGATTCATCTTCTTTGGTTCTTTCGGTAAAGTCACGTAGAATGAGAATAAAATAATAAATTGATAAAATAAAATAACACAATAATATTCTCACGACGTTTCGGCCACAACACAAGCGGCCTTCATCAGGTGAAGGGAGCGAGACTGTCTGGTAGGACAGCGCTGGAGTGAGAGAGCCACGTTCAGATCACGGCTTTTAAGCTGTGTGAGAGGAACAAAGAGCCTTGACGAAGGAATTAGCAT